TGCTGAAGTGCACCACAGAATACATTTTAAATTTGCTTCCTACAGCAGGCAGGGATATTTGGCAGGAGGTGAAGGACCATCCTTTCAAGTAAGAGCCAGGTGAACACCAGAGTCCTGGCTGCCAGCTTGCCATGGGTGAAGAAATTAAGGCCAAAACTGACATATGTTATGAATATTTGTCTGCCTATGTCACTGGAAGCTGCAGCCAGCTGGATGTGCTTCTGGTCATGGACGGCATTGGCATATGGTTTATGCTGTTTATTTGCCTGTGGCACCTTAGGTTTTGGAAGTCAGTCTTTACTTCCTACCAGAAGAGTGTTTTGGGGTTTTTTTAAGCAATTTTTCAGAACAAGGAGGTACTTGGGTGCATCTTGGGAAGGATTTAGCACGGTTTTCCAGGAGAGCGCAATGATGGGCTTGGAAGGTTGCTTGCTTCTTTAGGATTCAAGTTGTTCAGCTCAAGGCTGGCATCCAGCCCTTGGTATTGCTCTGCCTGGAATAATTTCTCTCACTCTTGGGGTTTGTGTGAAATGTTTCTTTCAGTTCAGAAACTAATGATCAAGAATGACCATCTGTGACCCCTTGGCAGGCATCTGGATGTAACATTTTCCACTTCTGAGGTGCTGAGATAACCCAGCGCTGCTGCTGCTGCTGGGACTAGAAGTCGTATCATCAGATATAATAACACCTTCCAGCTGCACATGTTGTTTTTTAGTCTTTCCTAAACGAAAATGAGTTTTGCAGGTGGCTAACGCTAGAGGATAATTTCTTTCCATGCTCATTTGAAGCCTTGTAGCAAACCCAAAGCTGTGAATTGAAGATGGAAATAAAAGTAGAACGTGATTTCAGAAAAAAACCCTCCATTTTCTGTGCTGGTGAAGCAACTAAGCCGTGTGGCTGCTGATGCAGACCTTTCATCTGCCCAAGTAAAAGGCTTATTATCTTCAGCTGAAGCTGATCAGGTGTTGAGTGAGCAGCACATCCAAGCAGCTATTTGCATGAGAAATATGCTGTGAAGATGAGACTTTGATGTATTTGCATCTTCTGAATTCCCACTATGTTTTTGATTGTGCCTCCTGTTGGGTGAGCCTGGGACATCTTCCCTTGGCTGAGCTGGAAAGGAAGAGGAGGGAACTTCATGCTCTGCTTTTCCACCTTATCTTTCCATTCTGAGGTAACTTTCCTGCTCTTCTCTGTGATTGAAGAGAAGCCTGGAGAAACACGTTAAGGACAGCAAGTCAGGGGCCATCAGCCTTGAGGAGACCCCTTGGGAGAGACAGGGAGGAGATTTTGGAAAAGGGAGGGAATGATTCTGGATGGTGGACTCGTGGCTGTTTTGGTTGGAGGGTGCCTATGCAAGGCTCTGGTCCCTGGTAGTGGGACCATCACCAGGACAGTCCTGGCTTTGCCATGCAGAGTCCTGAAGTCCTCCTGGGATGTCCTCTGGCTAAGCTGCACCGGGCTTGCTTCTTGAGAGAGTAATTAATCACGGTGGGAAATTTCCAGAAACATCTTTATTTTTATTTTTGTTTTCCTGCTGGAAAATGCTCATTGCTCTGCCAAAGTATTGGGGCAATCAGTCTAGCTGGAGCTTTGAGACCTTGAGGTTATGTGGGGGATCAGCACCCACACATAGACCTGGCTGCTGGGGTGCTTGGCTTGAGCTTGTATTGTAATCCCTGGACACCTTTCTACAACATGCTTTATGTCTGGAGTAGCCACCTGCCTTTCCCTAGGAGAAAGTCTCAAAAATGGGAATATATTTCAAGAAAGACAGATAGAGAAGAAGAAAAGAAGTTTATAAGTGCTTTGAACTGATGGAGAAGCAGCAGAAAGTCAGTACAGGGACAACTCACAAAAGTCCATCTGCTGGAAAATCTGCAATCAGAGGCAAAGAGGTGACTTCCCAGGGATCCTCGTTATCTCAGGCGCTCATCAAACCTCATTTTAATGCTGGGTGGGGGTTCTGGGGGAGAAGCTCATTTCTCTCTGGAGTATGCAGGAGGCACAGCCATTTCTCTGGGCAGCCACCTCCTCTTGCTGGTCGTGCATCAGTAATTAGTCTCTGGGCAAATTCACTTCATTAAGCCCACTGAGGAGATGCTCTCGCAGCACGGTTGTTGCTCTTTAAACTCCCACGTACGAGGGGGGAGTATCACGCTTTGAGGACTTTTCTTTTTCTTTGAAATAGTTGGATGTAAAGCAGCAGAGAAAGCTATTTCCCTCTTGCCAATACGCTTGTCTGGTCAAATGATCACAGGGTATTTAAATAGTGGGTGGCGAGCAAGAAACAGTCCTTTTTGCGGTCAAATTAGTGTACGGCTTGGGCTCTGATTTTTCAGAAGATGCTCTAGGTTGAAAACTGAGCTCTTGTGTTTAGCTCCTATTTCTGTCAGAGAAATTAGGTCCTGGGTGACAAATGGAGGCTCTCCGAAGTATATCTTTACCTTGGAAAGTACTCTCACAGGGTGCACACCCGCAGCAAGGCTGGTTGTGCTGCTCCACATTACAGCTTCATTGGCTGTTCATCCCAACGTTATCGTATTTTCTATTCAGTCGGCTTTTGACTTTCAGTAATTTCTTTAATTGGGCTTATTCTTAACGCAAGATGGCTTCAAATTAAAAGCAACTTCTCAGACAAGTTAACATTCAAGCACAATTAAGTTAAATAATATGATGGCAGAATGCGAGGAAGTGAAAGACCGTTTTTGGCAGCAGCAGATCGATTACTACAACGCAAAGCCACGTGGAATACAGTGATAGGGTTTTTTTCCTCAGTGACGTGCCCTAGCTGCAAACCCATAATCACTTCAGTAGGTGTTTATAAACCCTAGCTGGCTTCTGAAAAGAGATTATTTAAGCACTTTGTGGGTGATGCTGAAGTAAAAACCTACCCCTGTGCACGTGCCTGAGAGCATCAGTTGACTTCCCAAGCTCTGTGCTGGTGTTCAGTAACCAGCCCATGAGAGCTCTGATGAAAGACCAACCATGGTCCTCGAGTGGGCATGGGGCTGTGCCGGTGTTGGAAACACATCTGGGTTTCTTCTACCACCTGAATTTTCTCTGCCTGTGGATTGGTGAGGCTCCAGGTTAGCAATCAGATGCTGCCAAAGAGCTGTGGGCCGTTCAGTCAGGAGCTGGCTCTTTTGGGCAGGGTTTCAGATCTGCATATTCAGTGGATTTAGTCATGAGAACGTCCAGCCAGGGAAATTGAGCTCGCAGCATCCCCAGGGGATTTTGTAGGATTCAATAAAGTAATTCCAGGGTTTGAGAAAGACGATAAATCTCCGAGGGAATTAAAACAAAGTAGTGCGAGAGCTGGTTTTGCAGAGACTCAAGTGCCCCCTGCACCTTGGCTGATGTGTGTGCCAACAGCTTCCACGCCGTGTATCCTGCACCACAACTGTGTCTGAGCTGAGAGATGGCTTTTTTATACCGTAACAGACATCAGTTACCCAAAATATGGGGCGTGATTCAATAATGTGTACTTTTACAGCGTGAGATTGGGTGGGTGGCACCTTCCCAGCAGGTGGCACCTTATGGGATTGAGAGTTTGTGCTCCAGCAACCAGCGGATCCCACAGCTCAGGAGAGGGGTCCCCAGCACCATCACCTGGGGCTTTGCTTTTGGGGAAAAGCTGTGCTTTGTGTCACAAGTCCTTGATGGCAGGGTTCAGTGTGGCCTTGGTAGTGAAGAGCAATCCCAAATTAATGTTTTCCCACCGTGCGTCATCCCTTCAGAAGGACATCTCACCCCAGGAGAGGGCCAGCAGTGAGTGAAAGCTTCAGCTCGTGGAGATGGGGAAAAGCCCAGGTCCTGTGGGACAGGAGCAGGGCAGGAGGATTTGGGGATTTGGGGCAGGGCTGTGCGAGGCTGCTGCTAATGAAAGCGGTAT